AGGCAATCTCAGATAGGAAGGCACTAGCAGCTTGGAGATTCAGGAAAAGCCTCTTGCAGGAGGTTTGGTTTGAGCTGAATTTTGAAGAAAGCCACAAAATCTAAGAGGCAGAGATGAGAAGAGAAAGCATTCCAGGCATGGGGACTTACTAAAGGTCTAACCATCTTCTTTGACAAAAAACTCATGTCCCCCATCTTTCTTCATTTTCTATCTCCTTGGCTTTGACTCTATGGATCAACATGCCTGGGTGCTGGGCACCTCTCCCACTTTTTAGCTTCCTTTAATGTGTTGTCTTCCTCTATCAGATTACAAGCTCCTTGAGGGCAGGGACTATCTCTTTTTCTTATTTGTATTCCCAGTGCCTGGCACATAGTAGGCACTTAATAAGTCTTTCTTGAATTGAATTGAGTATCCTGATGGCCCTCATTTATCAAGTCATCTATAAGTGAAAATGGCTTCACGTATGGGCCAGAAGAGCCTATAGCCTAGAAGGGCTGTAAAATAGACTGTTTAGCAATCTCTAGTCTAGCAAAGTCTAACAAAGCTGGGCCTTATGACTCCACGGGACCCATATTTCTGGATTTCTCTTTCCATGAAGACCAGGGTAAGGGGAGACTTTGGCAGGCACCTAAAATTGGACAGACCAAATTACTGTTGGGTTTCTAACAGTTGGGCTTCAGGGTCCTCGATGAGGCCACTTTTGAAAAGCAGTTGCTCCCCTGTTACTGGGACCTAATTGCTATTATAGCACTCATATGCTTAAGGCTTACTCTCTTAGCCCCAACTCCACTGGCAAGCTGTGTCCCTAGAACTCAGCTACTACTCCTCTCTAGGATTCTAGCAGTAACCTTGAGGGGTTGTGGCTAATACTACGGCTATTGAGCTCCCATCCACAGTATTTTCCCTTCCCCTATATCATTGACAGTTACACTCTCCCCAGTATCATCTAACCAGAGGTTACTGCCCCAATATCCCTCTGACCAGTGATCTTTTCAATATCATTGATGGTTAGTTGACATCAATTGGCTTTTGCAAAAGGATAATTCCTGTGGCTTCAGGAAGCTGCAGCATGTGCAGTGGTCACACCCTAGTAAAACCATATTGGCAGACTGGCTGAACCAGGTTGAAGGTAACCGACAGGCCTCAAACCATCAATGATTTAAGAGGATGTCTATTCCAAGTATGTGAAGGCTTCTCCCAGCAGAATGGGTAAATGAGAACAATTTGTTCCAAAGACAAAGAAAGCAGCTGACGCAGATGTTATGGAACACTTTGAGCTTAAATCAGATATTGAAGACTTCAAGGTCACCCACTGGTGACCTTGGCATCCTAGGCCATCACCAGTCATTCTGACTTTTGTCTTGCCACTGAACTTCAATGATTCTGGAAGTGAGAGTAAGGCTAATGACTTTGTATAACTCTGCCTTACTTAAATACAATTCACAATCACCTGTGATTTCACAATCATCATCCTGTGATTTCATTTGTCATCTATGAAAAATGATGGACTAACAATGGAGTCCTGGATTTTTCCAGCACATCACACATTTTTCTTTCTCTCCCTGTTCGCTTCTACTTCTTTCATGTACCCTCCCATGATGTAATGTAATTGATTCCCCTGTAGGCGGGATGTTACCAGGTTCATTTCATAATGCCCCCTGTCTACTTCTTTACTGTTACTGCTTTGAGATTTCTGCCTTTACTCTATCTCCTTGCATAGATTTAAAAAGAAGTCTGTTGGTCTTTCTGTTATCACTCTGTTGCTGTTGCTATCCTTGCCTGCTGCATTTATTCACTCCTCTTGCATTCCTGTTGTTTGGAGTGTTCAAGAAACAAATAATCTCTTTAGTTCTGGTTTACTTTCTAAAATTTTTTCAAACTTTTCTTTACTATTTAATATCCATGTTTTTTCCTGTATAGTTAAGTTCAGATTTGCAGGATAGGTCAACCTAGGTTGCATCCTTAATCTCATTACTCTTTAGGACACATTCTTCCATTTCCTACTCTTTCTAGTGGGTAAAGAATAGTCTGGGTTCTTTGACCATCCTTTCCTTTGTATTTGAAGGTCTTTTTTCCTGATTGCTTGTAGAACTTACTGTTTCTGAATTGAATTGTTGCATTTAACCACTATGTGTCTTGGAGTTTTTAGTCTTGTTTTTTTTTTTCTCCCCTGGAGCCAACCTGTGAATTCTTTCATTTAGAATTTCATTTTCTATGTTCAGATGTTCTAGACAGTTCTCTTCTATTATTTCCATCATTATGGTGTTAAGATTATTTTGTCCTGTCATGTTCTTCAGGGAGATCTATGACCCTTAGGTTGTCCTTATGCATCTTGTCTTCAAGATCAGTTTGTTTTGCTTGCATAGTGAGTATATTTTCTTTTAATGTATTTGTTTTTTGCCTCTGTTCTTCTAAATTATCCTTCACTTCTGTATATTTGCATCTCCAATCTATTGTTCTCTTTTTTGTTTCTTTGGAGAGGCTTGTGCCTCTGAGTGGTTTCCCCAGGGGCTGGATATCCAACTATCTCAGCCTCTTCCCACATTGGGCAATTCATGATTCCATGACCTCTGTCTCAGCTGACTTTTGGGTAGTCAGCCCTGGGCCCAGCTGGGTGCTGTGCTCTTTCATTCAGGCTTGATGGAATGCTGCACAGCCAACACTCTCATCACCTCTCACTTGGACTATTGCAATGATGTCCTATCTTGTCTCCTTTGCTTCCCCCAATCAAATCCTCCACACAACTGCCAAAGTGATTTCCCCTAAGTGCAGCTCTGACCAAATCACTTTTTTATATTCAATAAACTAAGATGGCTCCCTATTACCTTTAGGATCAAACATAAAATCCTCTGGTTTTTGATGGTCTTCATAACTAGGCACCAATCTTTTCAATCTTATTATATATGAATCTTCTTCCTACACTCTATGGTCCAACCAAAATGGAATTCTTTCTGTCCCTCACCCATGATATTTCATTTCTCATTTTTGCACTGTCTTATACCTGGAATATACTCCCTCCTTACCTCTATCTCAATATCTTCCTTCTAGACCTTTAGAGCTCAAGTACCACCTCCTACAAGAGGCCTCTCCTGATGCCCCTCCTGATAGTGTTTTCCTTCATTAAGGACTTGTACTGAACTATCTACCATTTATTTTGTATGTACTCATGTTATACTTTGTACACATTTATGTTATTCTTGGTATTATTCTGTATGTACCTCTTAGGTTCCCTGGTAGAATGTAAGCTCCCTAAGAACACAGATTGTTTCATTTTTTTTTTTGTCTTTATATCCCCAGCATCTAGCGAAGTGTCTGGCACATACCAGATGTTTAATAAATGCTTATTGATTGATCAACTTGAACAATACCAAGGGAGTACATTCGGGAAAACTATAGTAAATTCAGCATATCTACATCATACTTTGGAAATCCACACTCAAAATGATAGTGACTAAAGAAATTAGTTCCTTTTACTTTTCAATGCAATAAATCTACAAGGAGAGAAGAGCTCTTTTCCATTTCTTCTCTTTGAGGAGCCAGATTACAATGCAAAGAGAAAACTACATTCATTGAAAGCGTAAAAGCTTCCAACTAACTCTTTCCATTTATCACTCCTTTATCTGTGTTGCTGGAGAGGAGAAATCACTTTTCACTGGAAGATCATCAAACTAAGAGGGAAAGGAATTCTGCCCAGCTAAACAAACAGAATGAAAACAGACCCTTTAGATAGCATCCATCAGTTCTATTGCATAAAGAAAATAGCTAAATGAAACAGAAAATTAACTTTGAAAACTGTTCTTGTTTGGAGAGGGAGGCAGGGTGGCTGTTTGAGCTCTTTCTGCAGCAAAAGACTGATTGAAAAAAGGTTTCAAAACTATTATGTGATTTTTCCTCTACATCACCTGTAAAAAGCTTTTTGCTGTGATTAGATCAGAGAAACTTTTGTATTTTAGCTGCCTATGATGGAGCAATTTTTTTGCTATGAAACAGCCTAGGGTCTTCCTTTTTAGAAATTCTATCTGTGCCAGGCTTGCTCCCTCATTTGCCATGTACAGGTTTGGCAATGGCCTACTGCACATGGTCGGACTGGTCCCATAGAAAAATTATTTTGACAGATGGATAGAGAAAGGGATAGGGGGAGGGGAGTTTGGGAGGTTGGGAAGAGAAAACCCAATTAAAAGGCTAAGCATTAAAGAGAAGTGAGAAGTGATGAGAGCCTGAACTAGGGTGGCTGGTGGCCATGTGAACTGAGAGTGGGGATGTGATTTGAAATAGAATTAACAAAGCTTGATTCAAAATAGCTGGTAAAGGACAGGAAGGAGTCATGGATAACTCCAAAGTTACAAACCTGGATGACTAGAGAATGATTATTACTTTGAAAGAAATAGGGAAACTTGTAGGAGAAGTAACTCTAGGTGAGGAAGACAGATATCATTTTGGACCCATTGGGTTTGAAATACCACTGGAGATGTCCAGTAGGCAGCTGGGAATGCAGGACTAGAGTTTAGGAGACAGAGCTGGATATATAGACTTGGGAGCCATCTATATAAGGTTGATAACTGAACCCAGGAAAGTCAAGGGCAGACCTGTCTGGGGCTTCGGGGGGGGAGTCCTAGGATATAGTTCTGAAAGCACCCTAGGAATCATCTGGTTAGAAGAGACTACAGAACACGAATGTTGGGAGAGAATAAGTCTTCTTTCCCCCACTCTCCCCTCATCAGGCTGTGCCTAAGGATTTCCAAATCCTGTGACAGTATTCCCAAGCAGAGCTACTACTTAATTCAGTCACACTGACCCCCTCCCCACCTCTCACTCTGAGGTCCTAACCTATAGGCAAAGTCATACTCAACATTCCTTTGGCATAGCCCTTCACTCACTACTTAAGACCAAACCAGCTGCCCTAGAGTGCAGAGTTGGCATTTATCAGCTTGTCTAGGGTAGTAGAAATCTTTGCTCCTCCTTTTGACCAGTGAGAAGTGAGAGAGGGGGGCGAGAGAGGGCAGTGTGTGAGACATTCAGCACAGGAACTGCTGCACACCACTTGGCTGAGAGGAAGAGATTGAGACATGTACTTACTGGGGCTGCTGCTGCTAATGCTGCAGTTACCACCTCTGTCTCTCCAAAATTCAAACCCCTCAGAGACCAGCGTTGCCATGGGGAAAGTGATCCTTTCTGCCCTGGAGAAAGCCACCTCCTATTTGGAGAAGAGATACAGGGAATTTAATCTGGATTCATTGGTGGGATTTTTGATGCTAAAAGGTAGGTTGACTTTTTCTTTTACACGGGTTGTCTAGCAACTGAAATTGTTTTCACACCTTTCTATTGATGGTAAACCTTGAGGACAGAAGATGAGCTGGAATTGGAACTTTTAAATTTTGAAACTTAGGAAGGGCACATGCCTTTTGATCTTTTTGTGTCCCTGGTCTTGCTTCTTTTGGCTTTTCAAAAATACAAGGAATTTTGAGAAATAACAAAGAAATAAAAATTGAAAGCATAGCTGCTTAGAGAACACTGCAGACCAACTGAGCAGAGAGGGGTAAGAAGTCTCTGTGGCTCATTTTCTTTCAGAATTGTACTAACAGGCCTAACAAGATGAGATTAAAAAAAAAACTATTCATGTGGAGAACCCAGAACAGGGGCTCCAAGAGAAAAGGGAAGGTTCTCTCAGTTAGCAGACTCTGCAGGCTACTTGGTTGGTCAAGGTCTTTAAAGGTGGGAACATGGTAGGAGTTTCTTGACCATATTCAATAACTTTTTCTGTGGGGAATGAAGAGCACCAGCAACCTTGGAAACTATCTAATTCAATTTTCTTTGATCATCTGGGGATACATAGCAATGATTTTTTTTGGCAGCCTCTGGGAAAAAAATGGTGTTGAGCCCTCCTACTATGGTCATTTCATCCTTTAGCTGTCTAGAGATCCTATTCCTCAAATTTACAAAATCAGTCATAAGCTTCCCACATATGACCTCATTTATTTTTGTAGTAGTGTTCTGAGGAAATAAGGGCACTTATCTTTCTGAAAATTTTTGGAATGGAAAAAGGGACTTGCCATAGGTCATAGAAGAGAACATTAAGGGCTGAGCTTCCCTGGCTTCCAGCCCTCTTGTCCCTCTTGCCTTTTGACCAATTGTGAGACTGAACTGTCAAGTGGAAGGGGGACTGGTACCTCCTGCCTGGTGGAGAGAACTAGAATGATAATGGTGAATTTTAGGGAAAGCAACTTTTGCCTAATAATAAGTAGGAATGAGATTCGGAGACATTTGTCTAGATAGGGAAACAAGATTTGATTCACAGGCCTCCTCTGTTTCTTCACAGAACAGCTAACTGGAGTCCTGGAAAAATGGGCCCATGACTCTGCCCTGAAACCCTTGACCTTGAGTGTTGAGGAAATACTAAAAAGGTTGTCACTAATCATCCTTGGAGCCAAAGTTTTCCTCAAAATTGTTGACTTCAAATACTTACAAGGTAAGATGGGTGAAGGCAGAATTTCTTCAGTAACATAGGATCTGAAAATATTTTGTCATTCTAGAGGTTATTTCCTAGACAAACTGGTCTAGCCTCCATGCTTAAATGATCACGAGAAACCTATGGAATTGAATGGACAAATAGCCATCCAGCCTCTTGACACATTACCAGAAGCATAATACTTGCCTGAAAGGTAGTAGTAGAAATCTTCTCCCATCACAATTACTTCAGATACTAAAATATCCCTCTGGCAGCTCCAGGTCTCTACCTGTACAAATGGGCTCATGTTGGAAGCCAAGCATTGAATATCATCATACTTAATGTCACCCTGAGTAGACATTATAACTGTGGCTAGGGTAAGGAACCCTCACTTTCTAAATGAACCAGGAGTGCCTGCTTTGTGGTTTTTTTTTTTTAATTAAACATCCCTCAGTAATGATATTCTCTGGGACTTAATGTGATCATTAAGAACCTCTTCCTATTGATGAGAATTACATTTCCTGATTGATTTCAGCCCCATATTTTATTAATTTATTTTGATTTATCAATAATCACAAATTTTTCTCCCCCTTCCCCCCCATCACCCTCCCCAAGACAGTGCACAATCTGATATAGGTTATACATTTACATTCCTATTAAACATATTTTCACATTAGTGATATTGTAAGTAAAAATTAAAACCAATAGGAGGAACCCTCAGAAAGAGGAAACAAAACTCAACAGAAGAGAAAAAAAATAGCAATTCAACTTCCATAGTTTTTTCTTTGGATGTGGATAGCATTTTCCATCACGAGGCCTCTGGAGATTCAGCCCCATATTTTGAAGGGCTAGCGTTGTCCATAAGTCTCAAGTTATTTGCCTTCAGGGTGATAAGGGGCCTTAAGTTCAAATCCTGACTCTAACACTTACTGCTTGTGTGATCTAGGAGAAGTCAGTTAACCTCCCTAGGCCTCAGTTTCCACATCTGTAAAATTGTGGAAGTTGGACTGGCTGGTATCTGAGGTCACTGATAGTTCCAGAGTTATGATCTTTTATCCTTGTGGGATCTATGATCGTACTAGAAGCCTAGGTATGGGATAGGTATGTCTAGAGTATCAGTGGATCGATTCTCAGACCAATATGGGTTGGACTATGTGGTTACTGAAGTCCCTTTCAACTCTCAAATTCTATGATTCTGTGAGAAGCCATTGTCAGTCAGGCAGGAAGCATTTATTAAGTGCTTACTATGTGCTGGGCACTGGGCACAGGTCCTTTGTATTGGGGATACAAAAAAAGGCAAAAAACGTGGTCTCATAATTCAAGGAGCTAACTTTCTAATGGAGGAGGCAATGTGCAAATAATAATAATAATTATATAAGCTAACATTTATATAGTGCCCACTATGTGCCATGTATTGTGCCAAGCACTTTAAAATGTTATTTCATTTGATCCACACAACCACCCTGGCAGGGAAGTGCTATTACTATCCCCATTTACAGAGGAGAAAACTGAGGCAAACAGAGAGGTTAAATGACTTGTCCATGGTCAGACAACTAGTGTCTGAGGAGGGATTTGGACTTAAGTCTTCTAGACTCCAGGTCCAACACTCAATCCACTGTTTCACCTAACTGTCCCAAATAATTATGTACATACAAGATGGATAAATGGAAGGTAATCTTAGAGGAAAAGGAATGGGGGAAAGACAGGGAAAGGGAGGAGATAGACCAGGAAAAGTTTGTCAAAGGTTATACAAAACTACCTCCTCTTATTGTGTCACTGATCAAATCTTGCTTTTTCAACTCTGACAGAATTCCAAGAGACTCTACAGCCAGAGTTTTGGAAGCTTCCTTCTTCATGGAGTCAAACAAACACCTCCATGATCTACTCCAAGTTCAACGACTCAAATCCTTTCCCAGCAAAATTGAGTGATTCTTGCATGACACTGTTACTAGGAACCACGTGAGTTTTGTTCTCCTTTCTTCCCCGGATAGAAAAATATTAATAGTCACCCTTTCCATACAAACTCTTCTCACAGCACCTGCTTCCATTTCTATGTGCTATTCAAGCCTACGTCTAGTTTCTATAATGGTGACAAAGGCCTGTGCCAACGTGGCTAGGCCTACGGCTCTCCTGAACTTCATTCATTGCTTTCCCCACATAAAAAGCCTGGAACTGCTTGCTCCTCAGGGAGAAGAACGGTCAGCCCTGCAGAGTCACTGACTACTGCGTGGGACTCATGACTGCACCTGGAAGAAGTGGCGAAGAACTAGTAAAACAGCTCTTCTACTTCCTAATAGCCAAAATGGTAAGTTCCAGTAGGTCGCTTCAGAGCACCAGAAAGCTGGCCAGCAGCACCACACACTGGACAAGTGTTTTAATGGGGATAAAAAAAAACAGAGAATGACAAGTATAGTTTTCCCTTTAGTATGTAATGCATTGTCTGTATTTTTTCCTAATCTATAAGCCATCTTGCTCTCTTTCTAAGCACCAGCAGATTCCAGCTTAAAGTGTTAACTTTATTATTATTTGTATCTTTCCAAGTAGGGAAGGATTTCTCTACTACTGCTTGGACTAGTAGTAAAAAAAAAAAAAAATTCTCCTTGCCTTCCTGTTCCTCTGAAGCTCTGTCAGATGTATTTGATCCAAAATTAGAGGTGGGGAGAGTTGTCAATAACTGAGAGCTCAGTGAAATGTTTTAAAATACTTTTAGAAATTCAAGAACTTCCTTGGCATAGGAAGAACTAGCTCTGTTTGCTTTTGATAAGAATGTAAATAAGTAGATCAGTGGATGGCCTCTGCATTTTTGAACTAATGGTCTCTCAGACCCCGTTGTAGCTGTTTTTCTAAAATATTAAAAGGATTATTCTTAGACAACACTACAGTTACAGGGTCCCGATGAAACAACCTGAGAGACTACCTGAAGAAGGAATCCAGACAATAGGCTTCACCTTAAATACACTGACAGTTTAAAAATCTATCTCAAAACTGTAACTTTTGCATATAAGAACTGCCACTCATTGCTACTCGCAATGCTCATTTCATTGCTCTCTGGTTGTCTGTTCCCTAGAAAGAATGCTCAAGTGATCTGTTCCTCCGATCAAAATACTACATGGACATCTTTTGTGCTAACATGATGGAATGGAACTTGAAAACAGAAAAAAATGGATTCTCGTTCCAAAATAAAAATATCTTCATGACATATAGTATGAATTGCCTTCCATTCTATAGATAAGTGCAAATTATCTTCCTTGTCTTTAAATAAAGACACAAACATACGCACACACATACACATATTTTGCCTTTGTCACAACCCTGCTCCCCTAAACTACTGAAGAATGAGAGAAAATTTAACTGACAAGCATCAAAAGCCCCTGGTGTGAGGGATAAAGTAAACCCAAATGTTAGAGGTTCTTTAGCTTGGAAACTCAAATCCCACCAGGACTTTTCATCAAACAAAGAATCTATGAATTTCATCCAACATTGACTGAAACCTCTTAATGGGGGAGGGGATGTTAAAATGAAAGTTGAACTAGGCTGTGCCTCTTGTTGCTATAGCAAAGATGTAGTCTTCCCTACCAGCCAAGAGTCCCAGTGGCTCAATAGATTCAGTATTGCTCAGGTTGGTACTGAGCCCTGAGACACAGAAGGCACGTAAATGGGAATAGAGACAGGTTTATGGGAAGGACTGTCAAAGGCACCCAGAATGTTGGGAAGATGACTAATTCCATCTTCTTTTCTTTAGTCATGCTCTGTGGATTTTCTGGGTACTCAGATTTCTACAAGATCCCTTGGATTAAGACTATTCTCAAATGGCAGAATTCTGGGGAAGGATGCTATTGGAAGATTTGTAAGTAAAGTTGACTGCCTTGGTGGTAGGGAAGTTGAGGAGTTAGAGAAGATAAAATGCAATCTGTCATATTCCATCAGATGAGGTTGTAACATCAGGCTCTTGGATTCCTTAGTAATATCAAATATCATTTCCTCAAACATTTGATAAGGCAAGATTGAGAATATATGTGTGTGTGTTGTGTTGGGGAGGTAGAGCTATTAAGGATAACGGAAACAAGTGATTAGTAAGGGCTACAGAGATTTGCATTTAAACACACACAATAAACAGAAGGTCTGGAGATAAGGGCTAAGGTCACAGAAAGGGATCTGGCAACCTCAAGAACCAATATTATAAGCATACACAATGACCTTCTTGGAAGTCAGATATATGAATTATCTACTATGGCCTCAAGATATAAATTAGACAATTTGTGGGACCTAGTATTAGGTCGTTCTACCAGACTGGTCTCCTCTTTGTTACGTTTTTGAAAACCAAGCAGATGGGAGCAGCTAGGTGGCACAGTGGATAGAGCACTGGCCCTGGATTCAGGAGGACCTGAGTTCAAATGTGGCTTCAGACACATAACACTTACTAGCTGTGTGATCCTGGGCAAGTTACTTAACCCCATTCCTAACCAAAAAAAAAAAAGAAAGAAAGAAAGAAAACCAAGGAGAGAATGGCTTCCAGTAAACACAATAAATGACAGTGAAGAAGGAGTCAGGTACTCCTCTGAAATTCAAAGAAAACAGTAAAGTTATTTCTGTCACCTTCACATCTTGACATCAGAGGTAGTCTTAGTGGGAAATGAAATACACAGCTCCTGGATACACAGAGAAGGGGCCTGGGAGGCAGCACAGATAGCTATTTACACCCTATATAAGGCAGTCCCACCTAATTTTTCATAATAACATCAATGACAAATTATAACCAAACCCCACTGATAAGTCACAAACCCCTGCTCTAATAGTGCTGAGCAAATCACCCATTTATAACATGGTTCCTGTGGAACATTCCTCTTTAATGCCATTTCTTTTAATGCCATTTTCATGGAGAATGAATTAAAGGTATTAAGTGGATGTTGGACTATACTCCCTACTGAAAGCAAGAAGTAGGAGGTTCAGCATTAAGTTCTAGTCTCTAGAACTCTTAGGACAAAAGAGCAATGAGTTTTAGAAGAACAAGTGATCACTGTGGGTGAGCAACTTTGAGACAAAGATTTATTTGGAGAATTATGATGATGATTACTCATCATAAACTCTTACTGACCGCCAATAGTGCAGTGAGGCCTTCACAAACATTAAATCAGACCCCTGCCTCTATGCTTGGTGTTCATAATCTCTATCCAAGGGACAGATAAGACAAAACATTATGACAAGACAAACACTTTCAGGGAAGCAAGGACCTGAGCTCAAGGCTTTACAATGGAGTCTCTAAGTTGATATTTAAATGGAGGTTGTGAACGAAGTTGACAACATGGAAGAATTTTAAGGAAGAGGGAAAACTGTGGGAGAAGCAAAACAATTCTAGAACACAAAGAAGAAGACATCCCTCACATTTATATAGCACTATAAGGTTGTAGGCAGAAAAGGAAGCACACTTTAGAAGTGAAAAAAAATACAATAAGTTTCCCACAAGTCAGGAATGATGGAGATGAGAATAGATGAAGAGAAAAGAATTTGTACACATTCATGATATTCCCTTCTATTTCTTCTCTCACTAGTTGTCATTGGAAACCGGCCATTAATGAGAGGCAATCACCTTGAAGGTAAAATTCTTGAAAACAAATAATATGTATTTCAAGTACATGAAGGAAGACACCTAATCAAATTCTGTACATATCCTCTTCTCATACACATATATATCACATTTCACTATGAAAAAGGTAGTATAACTTCTCAGATATATATATATATATATATATACACATATACATACATATACACACACATACATATATATATGTATATATACATATATATGTTGCATTTGCTCTTCTGGAAATATACATTTAGACCACATTCTTTAGGAAAAAAGTAGAGGGGAAACCATCTTCATCAGTGTTAGGCAGTCCAGAAAACTAAAGGATGAAAGACTTGGGGATGAAAGAGTGGCAAAGATAAGAACAGTTGTGATATCATAGGCCTAATCTAAATATTTGCTGCAATTTCCTATTTCTCTAACAGTTTGATGCAGTGGTTTTTTTTTTCTTTTCTTAGCTATTCATTTTCAGGTTTCAGCTTCAAGCAGAAAGCAAGGTAGAGCCCTGTTTGCTTGTTTTAGTCAGCATCTCTCTAAGAAAGATTATTGCTTTTAGTAGTCAGAGCAGCTAAAAAAAAGTGAACCAAATCTAGACCTTTTCAAGACCTTAGTCCTTGTTGGCCATCTAGTCCATCCCTATATCAAAGAATCTCTGCTTTAATGTACCTGACAAGTGGTCATCTAGCCTGTGCTTAACGACTTCCAAGGAGGGGTGATCCACCAGCTTGTGAGGGAACCCTTTCTACTCTTCAAATCATGAGGAAGTTTTTCTTCTTGTCAAGCCTACATTTGCCTCTTTGGAATTTCCATTCACTGCTCCTGGTTCTGCCCTCTGGGGCCAAGTAGAATAAGTCTTTTCCCTCCTGCATGTCACAGTCCTTCAAACAGATATGACAAATATCATATCCTCCATCCCAATTCTTCTTTTCTCCAGGCTAGGCATGCTCAGTTTCTTAGGCTTATCCTCATGTGCCACGGAGTTAGGCCCTTCACCATCCTGGTTGGGCTTCTCTGGATACTCTTCAGCTAATCAATGTCCTTCTTAAACTCAGTTACTCAGAGCTGAATACATTACTCCAAATGAGGTCTGAAAAGGGCAGATTCCGGTGGGTTTCTCCCCTCCATATTCGAAAAGCTCTGCCCCTCCAAATACTACCCAAGATTGCATTAGCTTGGGGCAGCTAAGTGGTACAGTGGATAGAGCACCAGCCCTGGAGCCAGGAGGACCTGAGTTCAAAGACCTCAGGCACATGACACTCACTAGCTGTGTGACTCTGGGCAAATCACTTAATCCCAATTGCCTCACACACACACAAAAATATTGCATTAGCTTTATGGGCTGCCACATCCTGCTTCCGACTCATATTGAGCTTGTGGTCCACTAAAACATCCAGATCTTTTTCAGAACAACTGTTATCTAACCACACTGTCCCCAAATTAAATTTGTTGGGGTAGATTTTTTTTTGTACCCAAGTGTAAGACTTTAGGTTTATCCTTTTTGAATTTTATCTTATTAGATTTAGTTCAATGCTCTAGCTTGTCAAGAACCTTTTGGATCCCAACTCTACCACCCATCTCACTTTGGTTTCATCTGTAAATATGATGAATATAGTCTATGTTTCTTTATTGACATCATTAATAAAAACATTATGCAACATAGGCTCAAGCACAGATCCCTGAAGTACTACACTAGAAACCTTCTGCTATGGAGGCATTGAACCAAGGGTGTGCTGGTAAATGTATAATGATCAGGCTCTCCAGAAAAAAAAAATGGATTCACATACTTTTAAGTTTAATTTGCATAATGAACACTTTCTTAAGTCTAGATAATCAACAAAACAATACATAAAGTATTGACTTACACTGATTACATATTTATGAATTGTAAATTCTCACAATGTAAATTTAAAAACCAGCACTTGCAAGCTGGATAGAACTGGCTACAGTACAGCCTTGCATCAAACTATTTGAAAATGCTCTTTGAGTCTGCCATCCAACAAGTTTTGAATCCACCTGATTATATTATTATCTAATCCATATTACTCCATTCTCTATAAAAATAGTATGAAATATTTAATGAAGAGTTTTGCTGAACTCCAGGTAAACTATGCCCTGAGCTACTAATTTAATAATTCTTTCAAAAAGGTAAATGAGTTCTACTTTTTTCCTTTTTTTAAATAGGGAAAATACTTGTTCTTTTTCCAATCATGTGGTATATCTCCCATTTTCCATGATCTTTCAAATGTTTCTGACATGAAGGTGTTCCTCTGTGATTTCAGAATTGTATTTTTTAGCATTTCTCATTTCTCCTGGGTCAACTTCTCCAGCAATACTTTGCTTCATGGAATCTTACCTATCCTTTCTCTGAGTCCTGCTTTTCTAAAACCTAGCGTGTCAGACTATACCCAGATTTCCTCTCCTTTATTAAAACTCTAGGATAGAGTGGTGAATTTCCTCTAATATTCCCATTGTTTCCACCCCAGCAACCACTCCTCTCCATTAGTGAAAATAAGATCCAGAATAGAATTTCTCCTTGTTGGCTTTTCTGTCTTTTGAAGGATGAAATGATCAATCAGACAAGCTAAGAGGTTATTAGCTGGCCTTCTTTTCACAGCATGATAACTCCAGCATATGTCTGGATGATTGAAGTCTCTCATCACTCTATTATAACTCTGTGCCAGGTTTGTGATCTATTCCCCAAACTCCTTACCCATTTCCTCTTGATGTCCAGATAGGCCATAGTGTATTTAAGTAACAAAAATTCCTTTCTAAATTAGGACTCCTAATTTTTTGTTTCTTTTAAACACTTAAGTTCATTTAGTATTGTGGAAACAGAAGAAAAGATATAAGATTGGGATAGAGGAGTAAAGCAATCTTCATTCTGTCCATTTCTGCATGAATCTGGACTCCCACTCCCTCTCAGTTTGAGTAAAATGGGAGAATAGCCTTGGCTCCATCATATCCTAGGTAAAACGTTCAAATGAATAAAGACATATGACACAGCTAAAGATAAAAAACCCTTCTAAATAAAATAAGGCACATGAAGTTAAATGTCCATACTTGAAGCTGAATAAATGAGTGATGACGTCAATGTGTAACTATGGTAACCCTCAGTAGCAATGAAAAGCATATGTGATGCGCTGCCTAACAAGGTTCTTTCTCCCCAGGTGGTTGTTCTTCCCTGAACACAGCAGCAGCAGTTGCTTCCTTGGGTGGCTTTCTTTATTACTTTGCAGACAATTCACCAACCATCAATAAGTCCCATTAATGCCTTACAACAACCAACCAACGACTGAAATGGATGACTCTGTACCTGATAATCCTTTTTGTGATATGTTCCCTTGGGTCTTGAGTTTGCATATATTTCTAAAGAAAGAGATAAGCAAAGTACAGGTTAGATTAAGATTAGAAAAACCTTGCGTTATTCTAAATCAAGGCTAGTAAAGATAGAAGAAGGAGCAGAGTGACAATATTAATTGTATCCAGCACAATGGTTCCATGAATGTTCCCCAGGAATGATCAAAATCAGTTGGATTCAACCAATATTAAGCACCTTTTATGTGCAGTAAACTGTGGTAGGTGCTAGGGGACATACAAAGATGAATAAATATTGCTTTTCTCACAGAGCTTACACTAAAAGAATCCCTTCTTGTACCCCATGGAAAGGTAAATTCCATTTATTCAATGCCAGGAAATTCTGAGGCTAGGGATTCTTAGGCTTTACAAATCCCTACCTATCACAGACTAGAATATATCACATATGGTATGATAAACAAGTAAATGTGGTAATACCAGGAATAGGATACTACAATGATCATAGCTAAAAGTATTCTACTTCACAACACTTGCTTATTGAGGGAGCCCCCCAGAACATTTCCTTCTCACCGTTCTTTTGGTTTCATAATTAATGGCATCTGATTTTAAATTATAAATGATTATTCATCATGCTCATAAATATGAACTCTGTTGCCTCAATGGACTCACCAAGCATGGACTATTAAAGACTTCTTCATTCTCTGCTCTGCTGATGATCCCTTTTGGGGACCCTAAATATTATTTAATATTCTCCCACAGCTTAGCTCCTCTGCTTCCACAATCTGTGTAGCCATCTTTAGGGATAATCAGTTTTATAGAGGCATATGTCTAGACTAATAAATTAAATTTGCATTCAATTAATAGTGTAAGTGTTTTTTTTTTCCCGTATTATTTAGAATGCAAGCAGAAATTTGGAAAAGGCTTGTGCTTTCAGAACCTACGAATACAAATTCCACAGTAATATGTGAAAGTATATTTAGGTGTCAGTTCTGTTATTTCCAGTGTGGGAAATTTAAGCTTCTCTAATAATAATGGTCCAAAAATAGCACTTCTACTCAAAAATGTACCATCTAGTACTAAATTCAAATCTATATATAATGAAAGTACAGCTGAATTCCTGTGGCTGAAGTCTTCAAACCTGTTATGTCTCCTACGGACCATGCAGGAGCCATAGGATGTGTCCATGTGCTGTCCATGGGACTGGTCATTCACAGCCAGTAGCTATCAGGTGTTTGAGAATCAGACTCTAGAATCCCAGGGCTAAAGGATACTTTTAAAGGCCATTTCATTTTCTTCCAAGATGGGTCACACTTAAGCCATCACCAAATGATAAAAGTTATTCTATAGTGAGTGACCTCCTTAGGAGATTTCAACACCTTCCTTAGTTATTAATCATTTCTATTTTAAATCCTGCCACCCTCCAGATATACTGCAAGATGAAAAACAGCTGGTCACCATCTTCTGCAAATGATAATCAGAACTAAAACATTATGCACTTCTTTTTTAGGTTGAATAAATCCCAGGATTTTTTATCTTTATACTTAAGATGTTGTACTCTAACCTTTTAATCATCTTTATAGATCTCTTAACCCTTTTCATATCTGTCTTAAAGGTGTGGAATCTAGAGAAATGCTCTTAACAATTTATCTGATTGATTCAATTGATTTTTTATCTTACTGACTTTTGGGAAATGAGTGGGTCAGAATCTAATATACACATAGCATTTGAATATAATCTAAAGATTTTTTTAAAAAGCATTATTGTATTTCTTTTTTTTATTTTTTTTGGTTAGGCAACGGGGTTAAGTGACTTGCCCAGGGTCACATAGCTAGTAAATGTCAAGTGTCTGAGGTCATATTTGAACTCAGGTCCTCCTAACTAGGGCTGGTGCTCTACCCACTGCGCCACCTAGCTGTCCCTAAAGGTTTTTTAATGTTTACAGTGAAAAATAAATTTTCACTTGATACAAAATTAAGTTTAGATAGAATTAGGCTGCACCCCAAGCAATTAATGTAGAATTTTGATACTACCTTCAAGCCAGGCATAGATCAGGTTTTCACCACCGGCTAAAAGTAATGAATGATGGAAGCTTAAGTTATTTCAGCAGAAAAAAAAAATGTCCTCTAAAAGAAGAAACCTATTAGGCTCACAAGTCGTTCTAAACAAAGTTGAATCATAACTAAACCTGTGGTTTGGAAACTATAAATATGTCAGAAGAACTTCAATCCTAAATGAAAGTGAATTAAAAGGAAATTTAATATGATAAAGATGGACTGTTACCAGTGTTTTGATTTATAATGTCCTAGGATAAAAAGTAACCTAAAATTGAATTTTCTTTCCACTGTCCTGCAATTTGATACTCAGGATGAGATAGGAAGTTCCTCACCTTTGAAATCTGTAAATATGATTACTTAACAAGTACTTCCTATCTTTGTGATATTAGGCTTCATTCAGTAAGAAAGTAGCAGGCAAAATAGGAAGTTTTCTTTAGTAGAAAGGATGCTGGCTCTGGAGTTAGAAGACTTGCGTTCCAATCTCCCTTCTGATGCTTACTATTTCATAACCTGTCGTTTGCCCTCCGAAGCCCTAGTTTCTTCATCTTAAAATGAAGGGGTTGAACTAAATGACTTCCAATATCCCTCCTAGTTCAAGATCTATGATCCTATGACATAAGTTTGAGGGATAGCAAGTGGTAGTGGTATTAAAAACGAGAGGTCTTTGTGATCTTTAATTCTGACGTTAAAGCAAGTCTTCTTTCTCCAAATAAGTCACTTGTTTTCACCTTTGTCCAAAAGTCCCAGAACCCGTGCCTAACCAAAACCATCGCCTACTACCTTTCAAAATCACAAGATAAGACTATTACTGAACCAACAAACTAATAAAAAGTGGGCAGTGAGTGGTTTCAGCAAAGCTCTAAGTACATATTACAGTTAAAAGATATGGTGAGTTTCCACTCATCAAATCTGCACATACCTGGGAAAAAACTGTAAGGTGCAAGATCTCTCTTCAGTGGAGCAATGACAACTTGTTTTTTCCCCAATAAATGGCAACCATTAAACTACATGCCAGCCTCCAAAATTCTTATCCTAAATTGACAATCTTTTAAGAGAATTAAAATATCTATTCTGGTACTTCACAGAATAGGAAAAACAAACAAACAAAACGATGTGTGTTGTCACTTTGGAGCATGGAGTAATCCTTGTCCACCAATGTGCCCCAGAGACAATATGAAGGGGGGAGTTATCACTTCAACTTGGGGGCAGTGGCAATAAAATTGCATCCACCAGGGATCGTAGGGAACACGTCAGGTAAACTTTACAGAGGAAATGACACCTGAGCTGAGCCTTGAAAGAAAAGAAGGAATTTGAAAAGCTGAGTAGCTGAAGGAATATGGCTCAGGCATAAAGGATGGGGTGGGAGTAGACTTCAGCAAAAGCGCGGAGTCCAGAGGTAGTGAGGCTGGCTGGCCCCTCTTTGAACGGCCAGTTTACTGGCATGTACCGGGTGGGAAGTGGTGAGGCCGGAAAGACAGGTGGGAGGGGGGCGTGTGTGGCTGCAGATTTGGGGCTGAAATCTAGCGGCTGCCGCGCTTTCCTCTGAGATGACGTTGCAAACACCGCCTGTCCTTTGCGTGGCGCAGACATTTCCGTGGTGTTTTCCCGCGTTAGACTGAGCTTTTATCTACTCCGCATGCGCTGATTTATGTATCTCTTGTCTCCCCCATTACAATGTGAGCTCCTAGAGGACAGGGACTGTTTATGGCTTTTTTTCTTCTTCTCAGTGTTTAGCAACGTGTGAAAACGCTTGTTAACTGAGGGACTGCCTGACTGGAGAGACACATCACCCACTCGCAAACTTCCTAAATCCCATCTACTGACACCTCGCGAGATCTGCGAGGAGAAGGCGGGGCTCGCCCGATGCCCAGCCCTACCCTTTCACGCCTGTAATAGGCTACCAGACGGCCGGGGGAGGATGATATCACGGGGACTCTTCTCACGTGACCAATGGCCAGAGTCTAGCATGGCGGCCTCCATAGGTCGTTGACTCCAAGCATTTCTGGTGCTGTTGGGCTGGCTCCTAGCGGCGCCCCAGAGTCTTGGGCTGAATACAGGGTGACTGTCGTTATCTTGGGGAGAAGGACGGGTAGGGGTCTTGAATTTACTCTTTGGAGACAAATGAACCTGTGGGCCTTGGCCCCGTTTCCGCGCCTGCCGGCTTCTCTTGAGCTAGGTCCCCCTCCCACCCCTGCCTCTCGCCCGCAGCTTCTCTTCTCGTCTCCAACGAGGCTTTGTCTGCTGGATTCCTGTCCCCTCTAGGTATGCCCCGTCTGCCTCAGGCTCCTCTTGTGACCCCGTCCTGTCCCTGATTGATGACCTGCAGTTTCTCTTCTCCGGGATTCGGACGCACCTACCGCGGGACTGCCAACCAGTCCGAAACGGAAGGTCCTCAGGAGCGCTGGCCACCGGCTGCCACGGTTCTCCCCACTCCGGGAGCTTTAGGATAATACTAGCCTGTGCCCATAGTTAAGCATATGGATACTTTCCCGTGCAGGCTCATTTAGCAAGTTTGTGAATGTGATATTAGCTCAAACATTATGGGACATGATATTTGGTGCTGTTTCATGTGGATGGACAGACTTGCAACTGGGGGTAGGCAGGATTCTGGGAGTGGTCACCTAAGAGATTTGCTGGCCTTTCATTTCAGTAGGAGCGGGTTTGAGAGAGTGAAGACCACAGCACAGAGACCCACCTTTCTTCATATCAGTATTCCAAGCTTATTAATTTCTGCAGTCATATATAGCCCTCTTATTTCCCTTACCCATAAACACAGGCATGTATCTCAGATGTCACAGGAATAATAGCTAACATTTAGGTAGTGCTTTAAAATTTACAAAGCTCATTACAAATACCTCATGTTAGCCTGGCAACAACCATAGGAAGCAGATGCTATTATTATTATTGTTCCATTTTATAAATGAGAATAATAGAGGCAGACAGAGGTTAAGTGACTTGCATAGGGTCACACAACTAGTAAATGATGAATTTGAGTTCTGGTCTTCATGACCCACTGCACCTCCTAGGTGCCTTGATCCATAAGAGTTGAGATTTATGATTGTTCAGGGTATAATACAAATTGTTCAGGGCATAAATAAACAAATCACCTTATCAGGCAAGCAGGCATATCAGCCTGTTGTGCCATGGGCCCCTTTAATATCTTCATATCCATACCTAATCCTTCTCTTGGAACTGTGAAGCAGCTTGGGGTGGAGCCAGGTGAGAGAATGAAGAGCATTGATGGCAAAAGATATTAGAGCTTTGCCTTTTAAATAACAGATGGGGCCAGCATACACCTGTTTGAACCAAGCCTTTCTGGCTGTTTGTCATTGGGAATACATTGAGAGGCAGCAGAAGAGAGCTGCCTTTGTGTCAGGGGGAAGAGTAAGAATAGGAGCTGGACTTGGTATTTCACTGCTACAGGGAGTTCTCTGACCAAACCTTCTCTGCAGCTTGTCATCTTAGGGAATTGCCTGGAGCACTGGGAGGTTACTTGCTCAGGATATGTCAAAAGTGAGATTTCCATCCAGCTATTCCCAGATTCCAGGCCAGTTCTCCACCCACATCAGTTTCAGCATCAGACACATATTGGTTGTGCGACCCCTCCAAGTCACTTCAGCCCCTACTACTGTCTGAGGTGGCTTATTGGCAGAGGGACTTTCCTCAGCTAGGGTTCCCTATACCAGTGAACTCATGGGCCCAGCCAAAAATAAAATGAATTTGTTAGGAAAAGGAGGCAAATCAGTGTTTAAAATTTTAATACTTATGAAAATATAAACATTCTTCATATCCATGTTGACTTC